AAAATCTAAAACGACATTTTTGTTCGGAATCGCCCCGTTTTCTCACAAATAAATTTGATTTATTAAAATGAATAAATTGCGTAAAAAAAAAATTTACTTTTAACGTTATCTTGCTGATGATCAATTTAATTTAAATATTTTGTAAATATAATATATAATAAGCAAGAAAACATTACTTATTAATTACAAACAAAGTAATAAGTAATGTTTTCTTACTTAATATATAAAGTAAAATTGACAGTAATAAATTGTTATAATTAAAACAAATTGTGATTAAATTCGTATTTTAAAGATAAATGACGATAAATAATTTAACAATTACATTCAGTTGCTAATTAAGACTTCTTGGGGCTCGGGGCTATTTTTGTTTTTTAAGGCTTTTTTATGGGCCAGAGCCTAAAATGACTAAAAAAAAGAAAAAAAAAAAGTCCTCTAAAATTTTTGCGGGCCCTTAAATTTGTGGAGCCCGGGTTATAGCCCCTCCTAGCCCCCCGTTGATCCGGCACTGATTACATTATAATATTATGAAAAGTACCAGAAGTGAAAAAAAAGCGTATAAATTATTTCGACTTTTTTTAAACTTTGCCATAAAAAGTTATGTTTTTAAATCATAAATGATGTTTAATTAAAATTTTAATAAAATGCGGTTTAACTTTTTAAAAGATAAATGTATTTTTCTGCTTAACGTCTCCACCAGTGTATGTCGGTGGCGGCTTCGTAAATGAATCGTGACCTGCAGGTTGTTGGTATAACGTGAATCCGAAATTAACTGGAAGAGTATAAATCGCAATATTGAAATGTTTGTTTAACATTTTAAAAATATTAAAAATTAAAATTTAATAATATATTTGTGAAATACAAATTTTGGTTATTTTATATTCGTTTAAAAATAAAATTATTTTAACAAATAAAATTCGCTTAACAAATAATATTCTATAAACAAATAATGTTCGTTGAACAAATATTAATTCCTTTAAAAAATAAAAGTAAAGCAATATATTCGCTCCCGTTTATTTGTTCGGCGAATATATATTTGTTAAACGGTTATTATTTATTAAACGAATATAGGTTTACGAATATATTCGTATCCTACGAATAATTTAAACAATTAGTTTTTACAAATAATCTTTAACGAATAATTTAACCTTTTATTCCTTAACGATTATTCGTACATCGATATTTGATAAACGATTAATGGTTGTGAACTATAATATTAATAACAATAATCTTTAAGTAACAAAATTAATAATCATATAAAAGTAAACAAATTTTGTTATTTTAAGGTAATAAAAAAATAACAACAGCAACAACAACAACAACAACAAAAAACGCAATAATAATACAAATAATAGTAATAAAAAAAAGAAGCAGAAAAAGAAGAAAAAGAAGAAAAAGAAGAAGAAGAAGAAGAAGAAAAAGAAGAAGAAGAAAAAGAAAAAGAAGAAGAAGAAGAAGAAAAAGAAAAAGAAGAAGAAGAAGAAGAAAAAGAAGAAAAGAGAAATGCTATTCAAAAAACGTATTGTTTGCTCGGCACCAGAAAAAAAGTTTTTTTTGTTGACCTGTTTTATTCGTCGCCGTTAATATGATGGTCGCCACGGAAACAAAATGAAAACGTTAAAAATCAAAATATTTATACGCACTGCGTTTATGTGATTTTTTTACACCGATTCATTCTGCATTTTGGCATAATTACACATACCAAAAGTTTCATACCTATGGATTATTGTTTTAACTACATTACTTTAACTTTTTGAATAATTATTAGACTTAATTTTTGTTGGATAACTTATTTGTCTTGGTTTAAAATTCATTTTTTCAATTTATTAAATTTAAAGTTGTTTATTGTTAAAAATATCTTTACAGGTATTTTTATTTAAGAACTTTTTTTTTGTATTTTATATAAGAAAAGTAAAAGTTAGATATATGTTAAAAGCAGATTTGCCACTGGACTTTGATCTCCTTTTTCTTATTAATGATTGAAATAAATAATTTTATGTTAATTAAAATTTTTATTCAATACTTAGGGTCAAAATAAGCTCCAGTTTAAAATAAAAAAATAGACCAAGAAAATGAATATTAATGAATAATATTCATCACTTTTTAAAACAGCCTAATACATGCCTATCTATCGGTTAATGCACATACATTTAGTTTCATTTTTGCATTATAACTTGGTAATTATATCTTCACATTATGACAAAATTGATTAATGCATACTTTGATATTATTCATAAATAGTTTCTTTGTAGACACAAAACTCTTAAATTGTACCTTAGTAAACGATGATTGGCACCCAAATACTTTAATTGTCTATGCCAAAATCACTAGACAATACTCTTCCTTCTTTAATTTCTAATCATCCAAAAATATGTTCATTGAACACAGTCACTCAATAAGATAAAGCAAAAACTCTACAAAACACCAATCCACAAATGAGAAAGTGTAGTAAAAATTTGTGGTGATTAGAGCCTGGGAACCAAAATACCCTGAAATGTTTGCCAAACCTACTCCAAATGTGAGGGCAATTAGTTAATAAAATGTTTTTTACTATCTTAAAGTAAATTCATTGACAGGTTTTAAGTTCCATCTTTTATCTTTTAGTGTTAGAAAATAATGTCCATGTAAAGTTCTGCCATCTCCAAAATGGGGTTTGTAAATTTTGCATGCTAATAAATTTTGAACACTGAAAAATATTTAAATAAATTTAAAAATATGTTCATATACTTAAATTTAGTTTAGTATAAAATTAAATTGTGTGGTCTCCTGACGTCATAAAATTTAATAATATACATTGTATTATTGCTCAATTATTGCACTATTAATGAGCTTTTGTTTCAATTAATTCAGTTTACACATGTTTTTTTTATTTTACAAAAGTTTATTTAATTTTTGTAAATTCATATTTAGATCAAGGGCATTCACTGTGCTCGGTGCATAAATTTTTATTTTTATAGCATCTAATTAACCAAAAATTTAACTTTTCCAAACCTTTTCTTTCTCTTGTTGTTTTTATATATTAATTATGAAAAATAAATACTTTAATTATATTAATAATTGTTTTAGATGTAATTGTTAGTAGACCTTGCAAATGAAATACTATTCCCAAAAAGATTTTTAAGTTTACATATGTATTTTTAATATAAAATAAAAAATTATAGCAAGAGTTTATTAAAACAAAATATGTTTATTAAAAAAAAAAATGTTTGATATATTAAATGTATTTTTTTGTGCAAATTTTTCCTCTTTATTTATTTATATATCACTTTTACAATTTGTTGATAAAATGTTAAATAAGAAATGTTAATTTCTTAATAAATTATAAAGACAGTATAATAAATTATACAAACAGACACATTATCATATACATGTGCATTGTTTTTATAAAAAAAAAAATTGAAAGTTAAAACCAGTGATTTTATGTGAAGCAGTATTGCACAAAAGTATCAAATCCAAATAAAAATTGAAATCAAACAACATTATCAAAAACAAATAGTTCTTTAAAAGTATGACATGTTGGCTCTTAAAATAAGTGAAATGGAATTTAAAATAATATTTTATTTTGTAAAAATATCTCTGAAAAAAAAAATATATATATTTTTAAAATTAATTTTTTTATTTTATGTTAACAGCCATATTTTTTATATAATAAAATCTAAAATAATAATCTATATAAAATAATGGTTACTTTTCAAGTTTTTATATAATCTTGCTTTATTTGAGACCAATCATGTCATACTTTTCAAGAATTTTTTTTGTTGATAATCTTTAAGACTCATCTGATCCTTTTCAATTAAAGAGGATAGTTGTGTAAATGCACCCATAATAATAATGTGCAAATCGTATATGATTTTTTTTTAAAAATTAAAAAATGTTATTTTATTTTTGAAAAAAGTCAATGTAAAAAGGTTCTGTCCAATGTTAAGCTCAGTTATTCTCAGTTTACTAAATCTTGTATCCTATCTCAGACTAAGTAAAGTCTATCATTTAATTACTAGTTTATGGGTCTGATCTTATTACTTCTCCCCAGAATAAGGCAGAGTAATTTGCAAATAATTTTTTTACCAATTTGACTCTAATTTAATGGCCATATTTTTCCTGTTGTTCCAGTTAAATAGGTTAACCCGTTGTTAGACATCTAAATCACTCTGTTAGATATCTAAATCGCTCCAGCTTCCAATGCTTAAGTTAACTATCAATTAAACCCATTCTAAAAGCTTGTGGTTCAGATAACATTCATTCTAAAAGCTTGTGGTTCAGATAACATTTCAGATAACATTCATTCTACATCTTGTGGTTTAGATAACATTTCAGATAACATTCATTCTATAGCTTGTGGTTCAGATAACATTTCAGATAACATTCATTCTACAGCTTGTGGTTCAGATAACATTTCAGATAACATTCATTCTACAGCTTGTGGTTCAGATAAAATGTCAAATAACATTCATTCTACATCTTGTGGTTCAGATAACATTTCAGATAACATTCATTCTATAGCTTGTGTTTCAGATAACATTTCAGATAACATTCATTCTACAGCTTGTGGTTCAGATAACATTTATTCTACAGCTTGTGGTTCAGATAACATTCATTCTACAGCTTGTGGTTCAGATAACATTCATTCTACAGCTTGTGGTTCAGATAATGTTTCAGATAACATTTGTTCACAGCTTGTGGTTCAGATAATATTTCAGATAAAATTCATTCACAGCCTGTGGTTCAGATAACATTTCCATCCTAGTCTTACTATGATGGAAATGTTGTCTGGAAGTTGTATTTAATAAGTAGTAAATGTATGCATAAATTTATAATATACAAAATATTATACATTTTTTCTTAGCCTCTTTTTTGAATTTAATTTTTTTGTATATATGCAAAAAAGAAATTATATTTAAAAATACTGAAAATCTGTGCTTTTATTATTATTATTTTTTTGGAAAAGAAAATTTATTGTTATTTAGTTTTATAAAAAGACAACCCTTTTTTTTTCTTTTCTTTTTTAAATCTTTAAATAACAAAGAGGTATATATCTTGGTTTGTAGAAGCAAATTTTATCTTGTTTATATGAAGCATAATTTTTTTTTTTTTCAATGAAAAAGTAAGCACTGGGTACGTTACAGCACAAATGGACATTTCAACACGCTTAAAACAATTTGATGCATACCCTAAAACACTAGAAGATTTTAGAGTAAAAACATATGGTGGAGCATTAAGTGAGTAGTTTTGTAATAAGAAATAATTTATTAGAAAATAATTATATATACGCTTCAGTCTTGGTTAGAAAGACATGCAGTTGCATGCCATTATATGACCATGTAAATAATAATTTGTTTGATGATTTTACCATGCCTTTTAAAATCATAAAATTGGCAGGAGTAAATGGGTGCACAAGCTATGAATAGCTTGTCTAAAATGGACTTAATAGGCTATGCAGGCTGCCCTCCTAGGTTGTCTTGCGCTTAAGTCTTTTTTAAGAAATTCAAATTCTTATATGATAATTTTTGATATTACCACTGAACTTTTATTTTGTTCCTTCTTCATTTTATGGATAGTAAAATTTTTTTTTTTTTTTTAGCAATAAAATGGCAGAAAAACAGGCTTGCATTTCAAAAAAATTTCTTTATTTCATCCTTTTATTTTTTTTTTTGTAGTTAATTTTGATATTATTATTTTCATATTTATTTATTAATTTAGTTTTTAAATAAATAATTATATAAGAATGTTGTTAATTAAATAAAATTTTATTTTTAATAAGTTTTAGTAAAACAACAATGTAAAAATACTGTTAGACAATATATTATTGTTTTTTTAAAATTTCATTTATTTCTTTTTCTTGGTGAATAAAAATGTCATCGAGAATGAAAATTTTGACCACACAATAATAACAAGTGGTAGAAAGACAGATCGTTTAAAAAGACTTGCAGTTAAACTTTGAATAAGTTGGATACTTGTTAAGATAATAGTTTTTCAGTTACACTGCACTTTTTTCTTGCACAGAGCCATTTGTATGCATTTTACTTAGGGGGCTTTTTTTGTTCTATGTTTTTTTTTTAGTTTGTTTCTTTATTCTTAAGTGAACTTCAGTTGTTTGATTTGGTTATTTTTTGTATCATAATAATCATGTTATTAATTAATTTTTTTTTTTAGCACATCCTAAATTAAGTTTTTATTTATTTTTTATTTAAAAAAAAAAAAACAGTTTTAACCTTTAAGTTTGCCATCCATGTTGAAATAACATTACGTGAGCAGTTTTTAAAGAATATTTAAATAAAAAGCATCAACATATTTAACATTTTATTATCAAAAAATTTATATTTTATGTGAGCTTTATATATTGCCAGTGTAAACTAATTTAAATGGGCGTAGAGGCAGGCATACTTTAACCTTTTGTGTGTCATATGTAAAATAAATTTTGATTTAACTTTGTGAAATATAAGGTTAAACATTATGATGCATTTGGCAATTTTTTCTAAAAAAAGAAGCGTTGTATTTTATATTAAATTAAAAAACTTTTACTTGTTAAAATTGACTAAAGATCAAGCGAGAATAATGAAATATTTTTTTAATTTTTTTTTTACTAAATAGTTTACTTTTAATTAAACAGTTCCTTAATAATTGTATTTTTTTAATTTTTACTTCTGTAGTTGAGAAAATCTACCAAAACAAAAAACAAAAAAAGTTCCTTAAAATCACAAATGTTTTCTTAAACTCACAAAAAGTAACTCAATTCCACAATTATGAAAAAACATTAAAAGTCAGAGTTTAATTTTTTTAATTACTGTTTAAAAAAAATTGAGTTATGTAAACAATTCAATTAAATGTTTTGAACCCTTGAAAATGAGAGAAAAATGACCCACTATTATAATATTCATTTTTCAAGTGTTATGTTAGTTATTGATTCAATATTTTTAAGGTTTACATTTATCTTTTAGAAAGTCAATATAAGTCAACAAGAATTTTTTGTTTTTATGTACATTCTGTATTTAATTATAGTAACTGGAATCAGCTCTATTATCATGTTTGCTTTATTTTTATCTGAATTTAATTACTACCTTACAACTGAGGTGAGTTTTTAAATTTTACCATTATTTAAAATTTTACCAACATTTAAATTTTTTTTATTGTTATTGAATAATTTTAAAGTTGATAAATCAAGTGATTTTTTATTTATTAGGTTCATCCTGAACTCTTTGTTGACACAACAAGGCATCAAAAACTAAGAATTAACATAGATGTCTATTTTCCAAATATTGGTTGTGCGTGTAAGTTTTCTTAAGTAACAGGTGCATAAGATATATGTGTTTAATATATTTTTTTAATGCTATTCAAAGAATTATGATAAATGTAGGAAAAAATTGTACAAATTGAACAAATTGTAGTTTGCTTAAAGTAGGTATTAGTTGAACAGAGCTGAAAAGAAGAAATTTTCTTTAAAATTTTTTATTATAAATTTTTCAAAATTGATACTTTCTATAGTATTGGAGGATGGACGGACGAATTTTGGGGGAATGGGAGAGGGGAGTGTGAGAGGGGGTTGGGTGGAGGAAGGGGGCAAGTTAAATTAGGGCGAAAAATTTTGTTATTTCACATCTTGTAATATCATTAGCAATAAATTTTTTAATGTTCTTTGTAGCTACCTCAGTGCATTATTTCCCCTTGGAATTATTTTAATCAAAAAGTTTAAAAATTATCAAAAAAAATTATTTTAAAAAGAAGTTCAAAAGTTAACAGTTATCAAATCTTTTAAGACTTGACCTATTAAGAAATTATAATTTTAAAAATCTGCTAGGTTGATTTTATCTTCTTTAAGAATTTTTTGAATATTTTTTAAGGACTATGAATACAGTAAAAGAAAGACTAAGAAAGATCAAAAATTTATGAGAGCATTATATTGTTACTTGTAAAAAACTTGATGAGGGTCGTGATGACTTAGACAAAATGTACTTTAACTGTCTTTATGATTATGTGAACCAAATTAGGGAACCTTTGGCAATGTTTGAAAATAATTGTGTACTTCATTTTAAATTGAGGCAAATAATAAACCAGTAACTTTAAAAGAGTCTTATGATTTATTAGACGATATGTTACAGGAAACATCTAAAATATTGATTTTTGTTGTTGGCGAATTGTTCAATCTAGCAACATTGTAAACCATTTAATTAAACTTAGTTCTGTTCAAATTACTTAAGACAAATACCCTGAAAATAGCAATGGTTGACAGCATTTATTCAATAACAAACTTTTAAATGGAGAAATCTTTTACCAAATCTTTTACCATTGGTTTATTCAGATTCTAAAAACTATATTATGATAATATAAGTCAAATTTTGTAGTTTTTTTTGTCAACTTTTTAACAATATGTCAAAATTAGCCTCTGATGAGTTTAATAAATGAAGACATCTAAATGAAACATTGAGAATTCATGAAAATAGTGTCTCCCCTATAAAATGTTATCAACAGTGGGTGAAAATAGAAATAATAAAAAAAGAAAAGTTTATAGATAATGAAGAGCTTAAAATTATAAAATAAAAGAGTTTACAATGGTTAAATGTTCTTCTTTAATTGATGAATATTACCCTTTACTTAACTCGGAAACAATATGGCGAGTGAGTTCAGATAAACTGTTTACACCTCAAAACAGCAAATTCTTAAGACTAATACAGTTGCTTACAAAATTTGCAATGAAAGATAATACTTCAGATTTTAACAGGGGAAAAAATGAATTAATAGATTTAAGGGTTCAAAAGTTTAACAATGAAGTAACCGAGTCTTAAAAGTTGTTTTTTCACCTTACTATTTATATTATTGATTTGTCATAAAAAAATAAAGCGGAAATTAAAGTATACTTTATAATTACTGTTAGAGGAGTATTTATTATTTATGATTCTACTGGATTAAGACAAGTGGTTAGTGCGCAGAGCTATTAATCAAAAAAGCCATGGTTCGAGTCCTATCACAGGCGTCTTTCTTTTTTAATTTTTTTTTAGATTTTTTAAAATAGCATTACGAAAAACGATGAGGTTGTTAATGCGCAAAACAGTTATTTAATTTAAAAAAAAGCTGAATAGAAAAAGCCGGCTTTTTCATAGCATAAAAAAGTGGCTCTTTCAAAAAATTGTATGGTAAAAAAAAAATAACCTGAAATTAAACATTTTTTACTGAACTTTCTAACTGCAGAGATCAAGGGTATGATAATGAATCAAATGATTGATATGATCATGAAATTGCACATGTAACAATAAAACTTGCAGAGTGATTTAATGATTTTAATCTTGTCTCTTTAATTCTTTGGTATGATGTTTTTTTTCAAATTAATATTGTTAGTAAAGTTCTTTAAGCAAGGGGAACTTAGACATCACTTAATATTCACAATTAGTGAAAAGTTGTTGTTCCATTTTTAGAGTACAATTTTTAGACTACTAAAAATGTGGTTTTAAAGATGCAATTATAGCAAAGGATTAGCAAATTAGAATAGCAATTAGCAAAGGATAGCAAATTAAAGTAGAGGATTTGGCAGAAGAATTACAAGTGGAGTCTGTTTTAAAGCCACTAAAAAGGATACAACTCATAAAAGGTCATTTTGACGAACTAGCCTAAAACAGGAATTATTCCTTTTCTTTTAAAAAAGAATTAGAAATTGATTTCCTTAATCCTTTTTTGGACATATCTCTAATTTTAATGAAAGAAAGATTTATACAGCTGGAGAATTATCTAGAAGTTTTGGAGTTTTTGTATAATTTTGAAAGTATACAAGAAAGATAAGAAATCCTAAAGTTGTACTTAGAAATCCTAAAGTTGTACTATTCAAAATAAACTTATATTGAAATTAAAATTGGGCATTAACAATATTTTCCTCTGTGATGAACTAATCAGCAATAGACCTTTTCATTCTGAAGTAATGAGGAATAACAAAAACAATTACTAATTGTTTTAAACTTTGTAAAACAAATGCAAGATTTGTATCCAAATACGTGGATTGCAATGCAAAGTTAAGGATTCCTATCTATTGAAAACGGTATTGCTGAAATTTTATTACAATGTATTAGTTTTGAATTTGATTTGTGTTTATTTTCTGTGTAATTTACCTGCAAATTTCAGGCTTGGTCAGGAATGGCGTTCAATTGTATTCTATTTCTGACCATGATTAGAATATTTTGTTGCACAACTTGACCATGGCTTCTCAGATGTTTTGAGAACTTTCAAGTTCTTGTATTTTTCCATGTGAGTCCAATTTTAAAATGAATTTCAAATACACACTAAAAGTTTTTAACTTTGTAAACTTTAATAATTCTAATTATATGTTTTTATATCAGCAAAACACTTTTTTTGATTGTTTGTAATAATAAAAAATTTAAATCTTTTTTTAAGTTATCTTTTTTTTTTTTTTGAAATTAATATATATTTGTAAATATATATTAATTTAAATTTATTTAAAATTAAGTGTTTTTTACAATAAATATAAATTTTTTAAACAATTGATTTATAATTGATTTTATTAACAACAAGACTTTAAGCAACAATTTTGTTTGCAATGAAATTTTTTTCATAAGGTAATACTTTTTTTGAGTAAAGTAATATTTTGACATGTGAGTAACATTGACATGTGTTAGATTAAATGTTTTTACCTTTCACCCATTGGCTATTGTTTAAGTTATTTTAACAGATGCTGTAGCCAAGTGTTGAATGAGCAAGTATAACTATTTTTACTAGCATAATAGTAAGTATAAATAACATATTAGTAATTATAAATGACAACATTTGTTTAAATAATTAAAACCATGCTATAATAATTAAATTAAACTCCAAATCGTCTATCACAAAAAAATCCAGCATAAAATTACATTGCGAGATTTTGTTGAGTCAGATATTGAGTCATTAATGTGTTGCAGAGGTTATTAGTTTGACAATTCTTAGAAAAAAACTTTTAATTATAAATTAACATACTTTGTTACTTATGGGTGAACCAGCACTGCACCAGAAGTTAGCTAGAATTAGATTCAATTCACTAAACTTTATCAATGGTATGGTGAAACAGTTCTGCCTTCACTTCATAAATTATTTTTAACTTTTTAGTTTGATCAAAAAAGTTTGCTTTTGAATATTTTGATGCTGTTAAAACTTGCTTGTAGTTTGCGAAATAAAAAATAATATTATAATTTACTTAGGATGTAATATGTCCCTTATTAATTTTTAATATATATTATAGTAATTTAGTAAAGTTTTTTTTTTGTAATTGTCTCTTGTCTGTTAATTTGAATGTTAAGTTTTTTGAGATTTTTTGAAATTTTCTCAGAACATCTAAATTTTTTATGGTCAGGTGTGGTTTAGTGTGTGGTTAAGTTTTTACAACAAAATTTCATATTTCTAGTCAGGTATAGTGTGTGATTGCATCCCAATCAGGCCTGAAATTTATAAAATTGTCAAGGGCAGCCAGAAAAATTTTGCAAAAAGACAGCAGGAAAGCTAAGGCCGCCACTGAGCTTACTATAAGATAATTGAACATCTAAATAATTTCAAGATTCCATAAGATATTAAAAACATATTAAATTACTTTAGATTTAAGTATTGATGCAATGGATGTATCTGGCGAACAACAGGTTGGCAAATTATTTTTGTTAATGACAGTTTTTATTTAGAAAATTTAGTGGTGTTGGTTTTAATTAATTGTTATTTACAGACTGATTTAGAACACAATATCTTTAAAAAAAGATATGATGAAAAAGGAAATCCAATTGATACAGTCGAAAAAAAAGAAGGTAACTTCTTTTTTGTTCTTCTTTTTTAAATCTAAATTAGTTTTCTTTACTTTGTTTTTTTTCAGGATTAGGCTTTAATTTTCCAATATGTTTTATTTAAAGTATGTTTTATTTAAAGCTGAGCCTTGGTTTAAAACGTTATCTATAAACATAAGTAAAAAGTTATCTATAAACATAGTGTTTGCTTTTTCATTGCATAAATCTCAGGAGGCGCGTGCGATTGCACGCCTTATATGACCACACATACAAACTTTTTTTCTAACAATTCAGCCACGGTTTTTTGCATACAATGATAATTTGCATGATGGTAATAAATGCACAGAAAAAACCAAACTAATTTAAAAAATAAACAAACCACAAACTGAAAAGAGAAATGAACTTAACAAATGATAAAATAGAAATAGGATAAACCAGAGAAAATTAAAGCATAAAACTAATGAATTTTTAAATTTAGAAGCTCTTCAATTAATAGTTCAAACTTAATTAATTTAAAAGCGTTTCAATTAATAGTTAAAAGCTAATAATTTTTCCTATATTGCAATGTTGATGTAGGGCTTACAGGCTTTCACAGGAAGACGTGTGATTTCACGTCTTTATATGACCACGCAAAAAAAAAATGTTTTAACGATTTGACCACGGCATATTTTTAAAATTTAAAAACGCGCTACTAAAACTTACCTAAACTTATCTGAAAAAAGTTTTTAAAAAATAATAAATATTAACGAAAGAGAAAATAAAAAAAATACTTAGTTAAAGCAAAAACACAAAAAAAAAAAAATATATATATATATATATATATATATATATATATATATATATATATATATATATATATATATATATATAACGCAACTAAACCAAAACTAATCAAACTAAAATGCTTAGTCTATTTAATTTACACATTAAAAAACCTTTTCAATCTTTGTTTCAACATTTTTATATATTTTTTATTTATTTAATATGTTCAAAAGTTAAATATTTCTCATAAAAAATACATAGTTATATAAATAAAATAAAAAAATATTTTATTAATACTTTTTTTAAAATTAATTAGAAGTGTTTTTTTTTACTTTATTAAAAGCGTCTCGATAATATAAAAGCATTTAAGATCAAACTTATTAAATTGTAATGGTTTTCTAAAACTTTTTTTTTTAACGAAATTTTGTTTATCTTTTTAAATGCATTAAATTTAATCATTCTTATATTTAAATTCGTTAAAGAGACTTTTGTAGTTGTAGAATGTCATCGTTTATAAAAACAAAACAATTTTTTATTTTTAAATAAGATTTATTTTAGAAATGAACACTTAAACAATTTATATGTTTTAAATTAAAAAAATATATACAACTGTCAATTATATTTAAAAAACAAAACATTTTTTCAGTAAATTGTTACTTTATTTAAAATCGTTTTGCTAATATAAAAACATTTTATAAGAAGTTTTGGTGTAATTAATTTCACTTTTTTAGAATATTTTTTATTTAGCGCATTTCTAAAATGTTTTTTGAATTAGCCGCGGTCAAACCGTCATAGCAAAAATGTAACTTGCCTGGTCATATAAAGACGCGAAACCGCACGTCTTCTTGTGAAAGCCTGGGCTTAGGTTGATTAATTGTGTCATTTTTGAGTTGCGATTGTAATATCAGCATTAGATAAGGGTTCAAATCATACTAACAGATAATTTTTATTTTATTTTTTTATGCTTTAAAGACATTAAATATATAAATTTTGAATTTTAAAATAATTAATTTTCGAATTAAGCTTAGATTAAATAACTTTGAAACTTCTATTTTTTTCTAAATTCTTTGTTGTAAAACACTTAAATTAAAATAAAAACAAATAGCTTTTATTTTTTCTGTTTTATTTTTTATATATTTTATCAATCGTTTAAATTTTTATTTTTTTAGTTTAGTTTTGCTTTTTTTTTTTAGTTTTTATTTCTCTTTCCAGTTTATAGTTTGTTTATTTTTATTTTAAGTTTTAAGTTTTAGTTTAAGTTTACAGTTTATTCAGGAAAATTTTTAAACGTGCTAATTTAAAATATGCAAGGAGCCATGGCCAAGTTATCAAAACAAGATATTGTATGCCTGATCATATAAGGTGTGTGATTTAAGTTGTAATTTCAAGAAATAAAAGGGTTTTTTTGTTACTTTTTGTTATGGCGATACAACCTCAACATTCAATACAATCAAAAACAAGATTCAATACAACTAGAAGTGTGTAATATTTATTTGTAACATTTTGAGACTCATCATTTTAAAAACTACCATTACATTTCTGATACTTTCTGATGTCTTGAAATGTACAATCAAGCAAATTTATGTCATTTATTTAAATTATTTTTAAAAAATTAAATGTTTGCTTATTTTCACTTTTATAATAATTAAATATTGTTAAGCAATAAGTCAAAGGAATGTCCAAAAGTTCTGATTTTTTTTTTTTTTTAATTAAAAATCAATTTGTTTGGTTTAAACTTAAACTCAATCAAATCAAATCTATTAAACAATTCAATTAAATTGATCAAATAATTCAATCAAATTGATGGAGCAACTCAGCAGTGCCAGACCATACTATAAGGCAAATAAGGCCTAGGGCCCCAACATTTAAGGGGCCCCCAAAAAGTTATAAATGAAGAAATTAAAATTAAAAAAATACATTACTTTTTAATTTTGAGGAAACATGCAATAATTTTCAAAAATTAATTAATTAAACTTATTCTCGCATAGTCGTAGTATCAGTTGCGTAGTAAATTGAAGAAAAATAAATATATGTGTGTGAGGGGGAGGGGCTCCACATCTATGTCTGCCTAGGGCCCCCAAATTGCTCTGTCCGGCACTGCAACTCAGAATCAAAGTGCATTACAGCTTTTATAAAATTAATGCCGAGGTAAAAACATCCGAAACAACCTTGTTGATTATTTTTTACTATTAAAATTTTAAGAACATTGAAACTTTATAAAGTTTTAATGTTCTTAAAACTGTTTGAAGTGTTTTCCATTTTTATCAAGTATGTTACTGTTTGAGCAAAAAGTAACTTAATATATTGAAAATGAGCATTATTCATTGAAGTAGATAACTGATTGATTCAAAGAAAAAAAGTTAATAATATTTCAATGATAAAGTTAAATATTTTTAAATAAAATAAATTTTTGGTTTATAACTTGCTAATAAGTGAGTTGAAATAATTGCACCAACCCTCGGAAATAAGATTGGCATTTGGCAATGCCAACCTAAAAGTGTTTGAGATCGATAAAAAAATGCCGACCTCATTTCTATGTTTAATGGTAAAACCTTGGTATCAAATTTTTTTTGCCAACCTCTAAAAGATTGAGGCTGGCAAATTATTGCAGACCATATTTTTTCTAATTCCGAGGGCTGTTACACTACCTTCTGTCTTTCACGTCTGAAAAGTGTTTATTTGTAAACAGTAAATAAAAGTTCCTAGCGTTTAATGGCATTAAAATTCTAAAATTTTGGTTTTTAATTCCTATTAAAATGTTTAGAACTTGGCGATAAAAGTGAAGAAGCTGTAAAGGTATTTAAATTTTTTTGAAAACTTATTTATAAAAAATTATTTGGTTAAAAACTTGACGTTTTTTATTTTATAAGATTTTACTTTTATTTAAAATGATTTTTTAAGGTTTTAAATTCAACATTAGATGATAAACCAAAATGTGAAAGTTGTTATGGTGCCGAAACAACAGATCACCCGTTAGTTATTTTGAATTTTATTTTATTGGTATCAAAAAATATATTTAATTTCATATACAAAATGTAAATACTTCAATGTTTGTCTATTTACTCAAATGTTTTTTATGCAGAGTTAGAAAGTTACAAAATAAATTCCAGGGTTTAAAAACTGTAAAGATTGTAATTTTATTTTAAAAGTTACAATTGATTAATTGGTCTATTTTAACCATGCTTTGTTTTTTTTTTTAATTTTTTTATTTTTCATATAATTCTTGAAAACATTCAAAATAATCAAAAATATTTCATGAAATATTTTATAAAATAGTTTTTGAATTTTCTTTTTATTGTTAAATGTGATTTTAATATTATTTTAAAAAAAGGTTTTAAAAAAAGATTGCATTGAGGTTTAAAATATCTTTTTCTAAATTTTTTTTTTTTATTTGTGATCCCTTTAAGGATAAAAGGTGTATTTGCTCAAGTCTTCAAATTACTGTATATTATTTAGGTGCTGCAATACTTGTGAAGATGTAAGAGTAGCTTATCGAAAAAAAGGCTGGGGATTTCATGATCCTGATTCTATTGAACAGGTATGAATAAAGCAACACAAATAATTATGTTTAATTAGACTTTTTTATTTATTCTAAGTGACAAAACTTTAAGTTTGTAATTGAAGATATAGACAAAGTGAAATGATAACAGAAAAATGTGGCACTAAAAAATTATAAAGATTTTGATACTATTGTTGAAAATCTATGTATGTATGTATGTATGTATGTATGTATGTATGTATGTATGTATGTATGTATGTATGTATGTATGTATGTATGTATGTATGTATGTATGTATGTATATATGTATGTATGTATGTATCTGCAGCCGTTTTTCAAAACACTTTAAGATGTTTATTACGTATTTCAAGAAAAATGCATTTTAAAAAAATTATTAGGAGAAACTCTTTGTAAAACGTTTTTTGAAACTAATAATTTTTATGAATTTTTTCAGAACTCTTTGAAAAATATGTATTCAATAATGTTTGTAGTTATCTAAACTATCTTATTTTATAAAAAAGTTGAAATTTATTTTTTTTACCTTAAGGCGTTTTGAAAAATGGCTGCAGTATATTTCTATTTAAAATTTGGAAAGTATTAAAAAATTTTAAAAACAACTTTGCTTTTTGGATTTAGCTAAGTTTTAATTTGAATTATTTTTTTAAAATTCTTTTTAATAAAAAGTATTTAAAAAAAAATAAAAAAGTCTAACAAAAAATTGAAAGTTTAATATAAAATGAAAAATTGAAAGTTTAATATAAAATGAAAAATTGAAAGTTTAATATAAAATGGAAAATTGAATAAGAATATGTGAATCATTTTGAAATCAAAGTTTGTGAAGTTTTTATTTATTTTGTTTCAAAGAGTAAAAAAAGAAATTGAGGAAAATTTTTTTGAGTGTTATTCTTTATTATTTCTTTATTCAGAAATGGCATAATTTAAAATTATGCCATTTAAAATTAATTTAAAAATTATATCTTGCAAATAGGTGGAGAATTGCCTGATTGTTGGAAGAATATACTAATTCAACTTTGTCATGTCTAAATAAATTTTTTAGAAAAGTCTACTGAATAGGATATTCATTTAATTTCAGTTCAGTGTTGTAAAAAAAATTTGCTAATAATTTGAAAATAAAAAATTGCATAATAATGCTTTGTGAGTTCATATAAGTTGTTTCTTAAGCCTCATCAGAGGTTTTTTTTTAGAAGCACTTAAAAAGTTATTTCTTATATTATTATAACTATTACTTATAAGTTATTATTCCTAAATATCCTAACAAGTCTTTTTTTGTGTATACTTTTGACTGTTTGGATTATAGTGCAAAAGGGAACATTGGAAAGATACTTTTCAACAGCAAAGTAATGAAGGTTGTCAAATATATGGTTATATTGAAGTTAGCAAGGTTATTAATCTTTTTATTTTATACAATAGTTACCAAAATTGTTATATTTATTAGAAGTAAATTGGATATCAGTTTTTTTATATCTAGGTGAATACTATGGCTGCCAGTTGTTTTATGTATACTAATGTTGTAAGGTCTTTAGATTTTTGCTGTTTGCAAAAATCTAAAGACCTTTTAAATATTATTTGTTTTTACATCATCGTTATTTGATATATAGAGCTCTTGTTAGTTCAACATAGAAATCTCTTAGTCTTACTGTTTTTACATTAGCAGAAAAAAAAGATTGTTACAGATATGATTTCATTATAAAATTAACGTAAAAATGTGGTTTAATCCTTCCTTTATTTTATTTAACTTCATAAAAATTCAAAATACAAAGTTTCTGCTAGAGTGATTTTTTCTCTCCACTTTATAATTTTTGTGTCTTTAAAGGTTGCTGGCAACTTTCATATTGCTCCTGGTAAAAGTTTTCAACAGCAGCACATTCATGGTAATTTTTTTCTTAAAAAAGTTTATTTGCTAGTTTTTTTTATAGTAATGATTTTTTTTTTAATTTTAATAAGATTATAATTATAATATAATTATAATCTTATTGAACCATATATTTAAACATATCATTGCCATTATTTCACAATTGCCTGACTCATTTTTTTGTGTTGTAAGAAAACTAAAAAAAAAAACTGAAAAAAAAGTTGCTTTTTCTTCTTTAACAAATGAAATAAACTATTTTCTGATTGCTTTAAGATATAGGTGATCTATCATATAATAGAAGACTGTGTAAACTATACATTTCAACTTAAATTACCCCCATATCCCCCCATCCCCACCCCAAATAACTATGGTGATCAAGCCTTCCCAGGAAACACATGCGGTTTTTTGTCTTGTATGATCACACGTTAGTTATCAGTCAACATTAAAAAGAATGATTTTCTTATATTTTCTTATATTTTTTTTAAAAGAAGAAAGCGAAAATATTAATTGCAATCTATTTGTAAAATATATTTGCATAATTTTAATGTAACAAGTATATATTGTCCCTAAATGAAAATGTCTATGTAATGCGTGCATATACTTTTATATATAACTTTTTATATTACATAATGATATTTATTTGTAACAAAGTATATGAACGTTTAGCTTATTTGGATTAGATGTTTACTTCATAAACTGGAATGTCTGTGGTTCGATACCCACATCATCCTAAGTTCTATCTCCACTAAAAGATTGGGGATAAAAAATGATCAGGAAAAGAAAAGTAATATGAAACAAGGCTATGTAAAAAATGTCTAGACGGCATGGCTTAATTGAAGCTTAAAAACTATGTATATGTGTGTGTGTCTTACTTAGAAAATACACAGAAAGGCTTGAATGGTATAAGAAATCTGAATGTGGTGAGATGCGTATCATTCAAAAACATACAAAAAAAAAGATTTTTTATATAATAATAAAAAAAAATGGTTACAATGCAAACACATGACCAGCAGTATTTAAAAGAAAAACAAAAAAAAGTTGGACAGCAAGATTTGAACCACGAATGTTCCGTGTATGAAGTTAATGCCTTATCCAAATAAGCTAAACGCACAAATACTTACAAATAAATATCATTACAAGCATTCCCAGGAAAGGCGTGCAGTTTTTCGTCTTGTAAGACCATGAAAACGTTTTTCAAGTTAGAGAGTGAGCATGGCCGTTTGCGCAAGTTATATTATATGCGTTGCTGAAAAATTGTTTTAAATTTAATAACTACATAAGAAATTAAAGTAAACTTAAATAGAAAACAATAATAGTTTAAATAATTTGTGTGTTGTTTTTATTTTTGTTTTTTCTTAGTGGTTATTATTATCGACAACAAAATTCAGTAAGTCAAAGCAAAAAAAAAAACAAAGCGGTTTTAGGAGTTAAAAAAAGATGACTTTCCCATATTTTATGTATTTTTTCTTATAAAGAGGAAAGAGAAAATATGTATCGTCATCTGTTTGTAAAATATATTTGTATAATTATAATGTAACAAGTTTATATCAAGAGTTAAATTATACGATCTCGATTTGCAAACTCTGTTCATGCAAAGCTGTGTACTTTGTTTATAAGGAGCAAATTATTAAAAGTTTGCAAGCGAAAAAGTTACAAAAAACAAAACAAAAACAAACTTACGGCTACAAAAGTAATAACACTTTAGTCACTAACTGCATTATAAAAGTAATAAAACTATAATAGTGTTATTACATTTATAAAGCACTTATTACTTTTAAAGTTTATTCTTTGTTCAAACAACATTATTAATTCCAAACATTTATTAAAGTAGAAAAGCATCTAGAAAAAATAAAGCAGATATTTAAATACTATTAAAAATTTAAAGAACTTTCACAGATCACTTAAACAACGTTATAAAGAAGTATTCTATAAAAAGTATAGCATTATGAAAAACGTTACGTAAAAACGCGCCATAATTTTAAAATCAACCAATAAAAAATTTTTATTGGTTAATTTTTAAATTAAGTTAGTGACTAGAGTGTTATTACTTTTGTAATCGTAAGTTTATTGTTTTATTTTTCATTTTTTTGCTAACAAATTTAAGTTGATTCTCCCCTTTAAAACAAGGAACACGGTTTTGTATAAACTAAAATTTTGAATACTAGATATTTTTCCAGTTTTTGCGTTTCGCATTCGCCTAATTCAACCCTTGTTGTTACATTAAAATTATACACAAAAATTTTACAAACACATTACAATTCGTATTTTTGTTATCCTCTTTAAAAAGAAATTAAGAAAAGGAAAATCATTCTTTTTATTGTAGACTTCAAACTGTTTTTTTTTTTGCTTCGCCTTATCTAATTTAAGAGGATAACAGTACATAAATTATTTAAATTATTAATTTGTTTTTATTTTTTTCTAATTCAATCTCTTTTTATTTTGTTAGTTTTTTTTGGTTTTGAAACTTTTTCAGCATTATTATAAAACTTGCAAACGGCCGTGTTCAAGTTGTCTAAAATAATATACTCGCGTGTGGTCAAACGAGATGAAAAACCGCACGCTTTTTCTGGAAGGTTTGCATTATATAAAACAAAAAGTTATGCATAAAAGTATATGCATGCATTACGTAGACAATTTCTTATAGGGCAATATATACATTAAAATTATGCATAAAAGTATATGCATGCATTACGTAGACAATTTCTTATAGGGGCAATATATACATTAAAATTATACAAATATATTTTACAAGCAGATGGCAATTTATATTTTCATTTTCAAATAAAATAGGAAAATCACTCAACTTATAACTGATTTTTTCTTTGACTTATCGAGTTTCATTGCTGAAAATAGCAACCATTCTAAAAACACAAAAATAAAAACAGTACACAAATTATATAAATTATAAATTTTTTTTTTTTTTTTTTCCTCATAAAGTTTATTATAATTTCCTATTTTGTTAGTTTTGTTTTCTTTGTTTTTGAAACTTTTTTTTACAACACTTAATATAATAAAACTTGCAAATGACCGTGACCAAGTTGTCTAAAGTAAAACACTCATGGCTTGGACATACAAGCCATAAAACCGCAAGCGTTTCCTAGGAAGGTTTGGTGATTGTGAAATGATCATGAGAATATGTGCATTGTATATAGTATCAGTGTTAACCAGGTCATTATTTTTTAACCATGTCGTAGTTTATGTTGGGTAGCACATCAGTATAGCTAATACTGATTCCAACCGAAATTGGAAAAAATCATAATTTAAAAGTTGTGAGAAAAAATATTTTAATTCTAGTTATATTTTGCCATTATAATTTTAGTAATCTATTGTTTCTAGTAAAACTGTAATTGAAATGTTCAATATATTTTAAATGGGTCATTTGCATAACTGTTTATTAGCTTTGATTTAGTTAAAATGCAGTTTGTCGAATTTAATGTAAGTTTTTGGATTGTCACTATTATTAAAGCACTTTTAAAAGCAAAAAATTAAACTCAAGTTACACAGAAAGACTTTCATAAATATGTAAAATTAAGCTGAGTATCACTGAGGAAAAGTAGCTTATTTTAAAAATAGCATTAACAAATGTTTTTTTTTTAAATGTTTCTGGAACATGACTACAAAAGAAATACTTGGAGATATTGCTCATTTTTTCAAAAATGGTTTGGGATAACAAAATTTTTGAGTGATAAGTTTTAACAATATTAAAAGTTTTGTTATTGAAAATTTTGATGGCACATATGTGTTTGGATCATGTACTGCAGAAATAGTAAACTCATATATTGGTATAAGATGCCAAAGAGAAATAATCATTAAATAATAAAATGGTACAATTTGTTTAATAAAAATCATAGCAAGATGTCTGGTTTGTAGACATTTCATCCTTAGGAAGTGGGTTTAGAGGCATATCAAAAATTACTGATAACAACAAAACCGCCATTTTCAATAAAATTGAATAATTTTTTGCATGATGTAATCTTAATTTGGCTGAAAATGGGTTTACATTTTCATACTTTTATTTACGGTTCATTTTACTTATAACAATCAATGGCCTTATTTTCTGGTGATTAAAGAAGCCAAGTTTTGACCAAAATTTACTTTTTTATTAACTTGAACTGGGATATCTCAGTTGTATAGTGCGCTGCAATTAATCAATGATTACCAAAAAGCCTGTAGCAGCGGGGTTGTAGATTCAAATTTAGACTCCACTAACTCAGCATATGAGATACAGTTCAGTACCTTGATAAGCTGTTATTGCAATGTTCCTTCACCATCAGTAAAGTAAAAATAAAACTAGTGTTGAAAATGATTAACGTTTTTTTTTTATTTAACTTTTTTAAAAATATTTCTTTATAATATATTAAATATAGTTTTTAATATAACCTTTCCACCTTTTTGTAACCTTCCATATTGTTGTAATTGCTTATTAAATTGTCATTTTATTTGTAATTCATATGTATATATTTATCAATAAATGTAGATTTAGTAATTAATGAAACATTATTGATGTAATACTAACATCTGTGTGAATATTTATATACAAGTCTTGGTAAAAGTGTGTGAAATAAAAATTTCTAATTTTTTTATTTTTGTGATAGCAATGTGTTGCATGTAAAAACTAACTTAGGGAAATGATGATGTAAATGCAAGCTATAGCTTGCTATTCTGGCCAGGGCTTGTATATATATTTACTTATTAGTTATTATGTTATGTAGTTTTCCTTACTTGCACTGTGTGTGTATTATATATATATATATATATATATATATATATATATATATATATATATATATATATATATTGATATTTAATAACAATTATGTTTTGTAGTTTTGATTTTTGCACTCACGGAAGACGATAAACTTAAAAATTTCTTTTGAGCTCAAAATTTTTTTTATCTAAAAAAGATGTCAAAAAAATGGTGATTCTTATATTTAAGTATTATTATGTTTTAAATTTAAGAAAATTTCAAAACTCAATTGATGTATAAATACTAGGGATGTGCGAGCGAAAAGTTTGAGTTCAGAGATTTTAAGTTCATCAAGAATATCATCAGTATTAAGATCATGCATTTCTTTCTTTTATGTGAGGTTTTCACAAATAGTGAATTCAGAATTCTCACCAGTAAATTTAAAAATTCACAAGTAGTACTATGTTGGTTATTGACTTTTGACATCATTAGGTAACACTGGACATGATCTGAAACTTGACATAATGCTTTCTTTTTGGCACTTATTTTATCTGATATTTAATTGGATTATTTCAATCACATTTTTAATTATTTTAAGTGTTTGCAGCGTGATTTGTTATTAGATACAATTTTATTTGAGCAAAATTTTTTTTTTTTTTTTAATCAAAATTATGTTTTGTTAAACATCAAGATAAAATAAATTAACATAATTAATTTTTTGTAAACTTAATCTTGAGCTTTTTGAATCTTTTTCTCAACTCAATCGTAATTTACAAACTCGCACATCCCTATTTCCATTTTATAGTTAGTGAATTAATTTTTTTTTTTGAAAATTCTGTAGTGCAAACGATTAGATTTGGAAAAGATGGAACCATTTCTTTAAACAGTAAGTTCTAAAAAAAATTTTTTAAATTCGTAACATTAAAAAAAGATATAAATACATTAAAAAAAAACTCTTTACAGTACATACAGTATTGCAAGTAACATCCAACAATATTTTTAGTATTGCAAGTATCATATTGCAGGTAACATGTAACAGTATCAATAAAGTTGCATGTCTTACAGTACTAATTTATCATCAGCACTTTGAAAATATTTTTTTTTTTGATAAAAGTGTAAACAAATTCTAATTTAAATCTTATTTGACGATTTCTAAGGGTAAAGTGTCCTCTTGTTCTGGTTTCTAATAAATTCTAATGATTGCAGAGTGAAATTAGTATTACCAGAGGTGTTGTGATCAATCAGTCAAGAACTAATGTATTGCAAATGAAACCATGAATTAGAATATTTCTGAAATTTACCTTTAAAACCAAAATATTTTTGATAGGCTACTGGTTAATGTTTATCTTGGTTTGAAATTTAAACTGCAGATTTAAAAGAATTTGAAGATATTTCTCATACTTACTTGATATACGTTACTTGAATATATTTTCTATGCTTTCTACTTTCTATATTTCTATTTGAACATACTCTTATTTTTTTACTTTTAAGACTAATTAAGTAAGTTTTGTTACTTGAGCTGTAACTATATAAATAACTACATAACAAACTATATAATTATTCACTAAGTATAAATTTACTAATCATAAATAATAACATAGTTTAACATTATAAGTCATTATGTATATATACATACATGCATACATATAAATACACACACATATATACACATATATATATGTGTGTGTGTGTGTGTATATATATATATATATATATATATATATATATATATATATATCTTGTGTGTGTGTGTGTGTGTGTGTGTGTGTGTGTGTGTGTGTGTGTGTGTGTGTGTGTGTGTGTGTGTGAACCTACAATGCATTAACTAAATGTTTGGGTAGACAGCCTATATGTTTGTCAGACAAAAATAATAGCATATAAATTTTTTCGTTCATATATATTAAAAATAATACATATAAATATTTTGTACAATAATATGATAATTTTGTTCAATAATATAAGCAATAGTTCTAATAAAACAATTCAATAAATAAATAGTTTAACACAAAATTAAATTGTTAAACTCTACAATTGAAACAAATAAGTTTAAAAATACAAAAATTAAATTTTCTTTGTAAAAAAAAAAAAGTTGACTTTCATAATACAAAAATAACAGTTTTTTTGATTTATGTGACATTGACCAGGTTTTAAGCCCTCGAGAATGAAGAACTTTCATTTGAATAAAAATATAATTCATTTTCAAGGGCACTTTACTTATCATGTATATAAATTATATTTTTTCAGTTCCATGTTGTGATTTTTTTAACATTAAAATAAAATGTTATCTTTTTCATAACAAGCACTACTGACATGCACTTAATACTATTGCTGTGATATTTTATTGTTATTATATTGCTGTTATTTTATTTAACATGATATAAATAACTTTTTTTGTGTTTTTTTAACTTTTTTTTTTTTTTTGCATAAACAAATAATTTTGTTATTACTATAAAAAACAATATTTAAAAGCAGTTTGAAATATTATTTTTAGTGCATGATCTTCAGCCATTTGGTGCCAAGCAGGTAATAAAATCATTTTAAATTTATTTTTCTTTTTTTTTTGTTTTTTTCATTTTTTTTTCAAATAATCAATCAATACGTAAAAATTGTGGAAAAAAAAACTTAATTTTTTAGTTTAATGTTAGTCACAACATTCGGTCATTATCATTTGGGGAACCAATTCCAGGAGTTGAGAATCCTTTAGATGGAACAAATGTCAGCGCTGAAGCTGGTATGTTTTATATTTTTTATTTGCAAGAGAAAAATAGAGAGAATAATGCAATAGATTATAAAAAAATAAAATATTTTTTTGATTTAATTGAAAGCTAATCAAGAAACATTAATTTTTGTGATTATTTATGTTAAAATATATTAAGTTAAAATATTTATGAGATAGTTAAAATATTTATGAGATAGTTAAAATATTTATGAGATAGTTAAAATATATTTAAAATTTTGAACAATAATAATTAAATAACTTAGACAATCAAATAGTCAGGCAACTAAGTTAATTTTTTTTTAATTTAATTTATTACTAATTGTTTATTATTAGTAATTGTGGTAGTGGTGTAGTGGTATAGCGCTCGCCTCATAAGCGTGAAGTTCCGAGTTCAATCCCCACCATGTCCCTGGTAGTACCACGCTCAACTTGTTTCTCCGCACAGCGGCCTTGTTTGTTGAGGTTCGTGTTTCGGAGTTATAGAGTTGAGAGAGGGTTGTAACCACATAAGTAGCCTCCTCAACTGTAGTGGCCTTCTCAGCTTTAAGGAGGTGAATAATTAAAAAAAAAATTGTTACTAATTATTTCTTTTAATTAAAAATTTTTTTTTTTTTTCAAATTTATTACTAATTGCTAAACATACTTTTACATTTTCATATATTTTTTTATTTCATATATTTTATTTTTACATTTTTATTTATTTTTAAATAACATATATATTTATTTGTTACTTAGTACAAGTCTCTGGGGTTTCAAATTTGTTGTTACAGTTTTACCTTCACAAAAGTCTTATCACTCATTTTATATTTTCTTATGATTTTTATTTTTTATTCAATGACACCATCTTCTAACTGTTTTTATTATCACATCTCTCAGGTCTACGAAACTGGACGGCTTCGTTGGTCACTTGTTGCGATCATTGTGTTGCATAAACAAAATAAAAAATAATAACATATATTTATTTGTTACTTAGTACAAGTCTCTGGGGTTCCAAATTTGTTGTTACAGTTTTTATTGAAGATAGTGTTTTGAAGTTTTACCTTAATTTCACTGAATTAAAGTAAATGGTTTTCATTGTAATTTTTGAAAAACTGATGCTATGAGCTGCCTTGAATAAGTTAAGCTTAAAAAAAGTACTAAGACAAGTGAAAATGTTTTGAAATAGTTCCCAGTTTTGGATTACCAGTTGTGTCAAGTGTTTCTGTAAATGTCAGTTTGTTATAAGTTTAAAAAAGTTAGATTTATCTTTATTTACAATCAGTTTGTTATAAGTTTAAAAAAGTTAGATTTATCTTTATTTGCAATCAGTTTGTTATAAGTTTAAAAAAGTTAGATTTATCTTTATTTGCAATCAGAATTTAAAGTTGTAGTTCTATTGATATTTTAAAGTAGTAAATCTATTATTTTAAAAAGTTTTTAGACATTTTTTATTGTGAAATTTTTAACTATTGTTATTTTTATGATTTTGTTATAAAAGATATCCTAATTTATTATTTATTTAAATTCCCAAGTTATTATTGTTTAATTTATACAATTGTAAATGTGAAATAATTGTTTAGGTTCGCTTATGTATCAATACTTTGTTAAAATTGTCCCCACGGTGTACAAGAAACTTTCTGGAGAGGTAAGTGCAAAGCTTTTTAGAAGAACACTCTGCTAACTTACTATTCTTAAATAAGTAAAAATAGATTTTTTAATTATTTAAAATTGATGAATTAATTTAAATACATTTGATAATTTTTCTGTCCTTGGTATGATTCTTTTGTAAAAAAATTTTTTTCAACTTCTTCACTTTTAAGAAGGCTGCAAGTAACCACTACTAAAGTTGGAAGTTACTGGAAGAGAAAAGAAGTTTATAGAGCAAGATAATGATTGACAGACAACTTAAAATATTGCAAATTATATGAATCAGGAAGACAAAATAAAGGGCATCTTTAAAAGAACCGCCCCAGATATAATAACAATATTTCATGCAAGGGTGGATTTGAGATATATAGATATAAAAGGTTTAGATAGAGAAACTGAGCACAGACTAGGGTCAGAAATAATACATAAGTTGAGTAGAGAAGGTAAATGATTTGGATTATTTGGAGAGCGAGTTGGAAAATTGACTATTTTAGTTAGAGATTGAGAAAGGCAAAAGTTGTTAATGCCTCCAGAGTCACTGACACTAGTACTAAGCCATTTAGTGTGATGAGTGTTAGTCACTAACAACAACAATATTGGCTGAAAGATAAAGAGAAATGGGCTAGGTCATTATGATCAGAAATAACATCGAAAAGAGTGCAGTCTTGAGATAAAGGAGAACGATATGGAACAAAGAAAAAGCCGATAGAGTGAAGTGGTGCTAAACAAAAGCACATAAAAGAATAATCTGTGGATTCAAACATAGTTTTCCGACAAATGGGTAAATTTTTACGAATGTAAATACCTAGGCCAAGCATGTGACTATTGGAGTAATTACAAATTAAAAGAAGATAACCATCAGCACTAAAATCACTAGATGAGACCGCCAAATTCAAATTTGTCTTACAAAGAGCAAGTAGGTCTGGTGTTTTCAGAAGTTTGTAGTTGATAAAAACCTGAAAAATTGTTTCAGAAGTGTGTAGTTAGTAAAAACCTGAAAAAAGAATCAAGTGATCTGAATTGGTATTATTAGAATCAGAAAAAACTTTGATCAGCGTGTTTTAATGATTTTTTTAATTTTTTTTTATAACCCTCTCTCAACTCTATAATTCTGAAACAAGAACCTTGACAAACAAGGCCGCTGCGCGGAAAAACAAATTGAGCGCGGTACTACCAGGGACATGGTGGGGATCAAACTTGGAACCTCTTGCTTATGAAGTGAGGGCTCTATCACTACACCACTACCGCATTTTGACCGCACACACTGCATTTATACATGATTTACAGCATCAGGTTGAAGACATTGCAGATTGTGAAGATTCTAGGAAGAATTATAATATTGCTGTCAAATTATTTAGGCGGTTCAAGAAATATGCATGAACTTTTTTAGGATGTACTTACTGACACACTAATGAGGCCTGATTTGTTTAACAAACCAGCAAATTGTGGAAATCAAGGCCCATATGTATATATATATTCATTTACAGACTTTATGCACCAAATAAAATGTTTATGACAAATAATGGGAGATAAATTTCTTTTGAAAATAAAGTTATTGGCTAATAGATATAGTTTGAAACAACATAAGCTAGAATGACAAGAGAAAAATGTAAACTATAAGAAATTATTAAGAATAATAAGAAATTGAACAGTAGAATAATATATATTAAAAATAAGAATAACATATATTAAAAAATTATTTTTATAATAATAATAGTTTATGTTAATAAGTTATATTAAAAAGTTTATGTTAGTAAAAGTTGTAAGCTTATAAATATACTTTTATAAAAACTACATTTGTAAAAATATAAACTTTTTTAAATATAATTCTAATATTAGTAAAAGTTATAAATTTATCTCAACTGGTATTACATTTTTATATTATTATTTATAATAATAAAAAGAAGTTGTTTTTTTGTTTTGTTTTTTCTTTTTGAATTGTTGGTCTAAGTCTTTAGTTTTTTTCATAACTAATTTTGACTAATATATATAATTTTTTTAATTTTTTTTTTAATTTTTTTTTTTTTTATATAAGGTTCTCATTTTCTAAATAACATTTCATTTAAAAGCAATTTATTTAAAAAAAAGTTGTTTAAAAGTAAGTTATTTTATTTCAAAAATCAAAACACTAAACCACATATGTTTTTAAAAAAGGCTTGGCACCCAGGCTTGGTCGGGAAGCAGGAGCGATCGCTCTCGATTGCTGACCACGTAAATAATATTTAGTTACGAAAAGCTGGCCAGATTTTTTAGTCGTTTTGAGAACATTTTAAAAAGCAAAAAAAAAAAAGCGCAAAAGATTAATTGGACCGATGAGAAACAATTACAAAAAAAAAAAAAAAAAAATTAGGCAAATAAAATATCTTTAGACGCGAAAAAACTTAAAGCTAAATAAATTACATTTAGAACAAATATTTTCGAAACATCGCTCTTTTGTAATTTTTTTTATAAGATTAAGCGATGTTTTTTATATAAAGTAACAAATTGCTATTGTTTAAAAAAGAAACAAATGCTCTTTATTTAGCAAAGTTCGCAAGTTTTAGTTTTATTTAAGCTAAATTATTTTATAAATAAAAAAGTTAATTTTTTCAATACCTATTTTATGTTTCGCGTAGTTTGAAAAGTTTAACATATTTGAAGCAATTCTTCTTAGTAAGATAAACAAATGAAATAATTAAATCATTGAATTACTATAGAAATTAAATTAACAAGATAGAAATCAACTAAAAAGGTTAAAAATACTTTATGACGAGGAAGCGAAACTGCTTCACAATATGGCTGATGATGTTTAGTGAGTGGGCTTTTTAATTTTAATTAGTATTTAAAGCAGAAAAAAGTATAACGAGTTTTAAGGATGGCAACTTAAGCGAAAATAATTAGAGTTGGTAAACCAATATATAGAAACTTTTCTTTATATCTAATTATTTGCTATATATATATTTGTGTTCTGTCGTGACCTCAGGCGCGGTGCTTGTTCATCCGCGAGTTACTTTGAATGCGTTGTTTGTGTTTAGTAACCAGAAACTTCTTATATGTTTGTTACATAATTAGTTTTATTAACTATAACAATTATAACTTCATTGAAAACGCAATTATTTTTGTAAGTCTTTGTTTAAGTCATAAAAATTGCTTTAAAAGATACATTACGATAAAAAACAGATACACATAATTAGATTTACATAAAGAATACATACTTTTTAAATAAAAAAATAAGAATATACTAATAAAATCTATAATTTATAATAAACTTTTGAAATTTTGACAATTTAATATATATTTAAAATATTTATTTTTGTAAACAAATAATATAAACTTTTAAAACAAGCAAACTAGAAATCTCAAAACGTGATTATCTCAAATCGTGAATATGACAATTTCTAAAACATTTCAACAGGATACTCTAAAACTTTATTTTGCTAAGTCAGCGTATTTTTTGAACTAATAGAATTAGTTTCTTCGTTAATTTAGCGGGGTTTAAGTGTTCGCGAATATTTTTTTTATTCTTTCGCACAAAGATGTTTTGAGAACATTCAAGTTTATTATGTTTCCATGTATGTCCGTAAAACAAAAACTTATTGTTTCGTACATAAACTTAAATGTTCTCAAAACGACTAAAAAACCTGGCCAGTTTTTCTCAACTAAATATAATTTCCGTGGTCAGTATTCGAGAGCGATCGCTCCCGCTTCCCGACCAAGCCTGGACACCCCATAAAATTCTTTTTTTATAAAGTACTCTAGAATATAAAAAATATCTCACAACCTAGTAATGTAACATAAGTATAAGACAAGGTATTAAAATGTTCATGTTTTGATTTAGAATGTTTGGAGTAATCAGTATTCTTATACGAAACATAAAAGACCAGTGCGACAACTTTCTGGGGAACATGGTTTGCCAGGTATATATTTGTAAAGTTAAATTTATTTTATGATATTAAAATTGGTCTGCTTTATTTAGTTGTCATCATAGGAAAAAAAAAAATAAAACAAATTTAAAGCTATTTTGTAATAATCATAAAATTATGTCAGAAGTTCAAACTTAATATAGTTTTATTAATCTTACAATGACTAATATAAAAAAATATATACATTTTTTTTATTTCATGTCTTTTTAAATTAAAAAAAAAAGTCATTAAAAGACTCAAGACTGATTTTTTTTTTTTTTAATTTAATGATGTTTTTCATTATTTCTGTACACAAAACTGTTTTCATGACAGTGGTGTGATTTCATTGTACAAATGTATTAACCATGCTCAATTTTCAACATCTGCTGCTTTAATAAGATTTAACAACGCTTAAACATGGTTCTTGCATGAAACTCAATGAAGTTTGTTTTAGAGGAGGACACAGAACTTGTAGCGTACAATGTATTTTACGGTCTAATTAACATTAGTTTTAGGAAAAAAGTTTAAATTCTACTAATGAAATATTAAAAGTTGCAATCCCTTAAAAGCAGATTGACACTATGAGCAATCAAGGATAGAGAGTCCTTTTTAATAGAATCTAAAAATATATTTTGGTTGGGACATGACATAAGGTGTTGAGAGATCTGCAAAAAAAAATCTAGAAGGGAATCCTCAGAAAAAGAAGACTTTGCAAGAATCATGGCAAAAGCATTGTATTACCTTAAAATATATTTACTGTTAGAAATCGTTTCAAACTTATCAGAGGAAAATATAAAAGATATATGGCTATGTTTGAAAGCATCTTTTATACTCAGTGGTTCTTAAGAGCAGTATCTGCAACTGCTGCTACTTATCAGCTGCATGAAGATTTATATCCATAAACTTGAAATGAATTTCAAGTTCATGGATATAAATCTTCATGCAGCTACTTCAGCAGTAAAATCATTTGGCAGGCGCAGCTGATATCTTGATCCTGTCTTAATTGTGCTTGCTTTAGCAAATGAGCATTGTCCAAACAAAGTAGATATTGCCAAAGCATTGTACAGTACACTTCCTGTAAAACCTTAAGTATATCCACTTGAACGTGTTATGGTCAATAAAGAGCTTCTTCACTCTCTAGGTTTTGCAAAATTTCAGTCTCCATCTCTTAGTGCTATATTAACTGAGCAATCTTGGCTTATCTTTGATAAGATTAGACATATATATATATATATATATGTATATATATATATATATATATATATATATATATATATATATATATATATATATACTCTTGCATGGTAGTGAAAAAGAGTTTCCCATAAACTGTAGTTTTAAAGAGCGCGTTAATAAACCAGACCAGAAAAAGTTTAAAAAATTAAATTTTTTTTTTTTTTTTAAATGATAGACTGCCTGCCCAAACCAAACCCTCAGTCGATGTAGCAGCACTCCCTTGCGAGTCAGGCTATTTGTCAGTCGTTGTAGCAGCACTCCCTTGCGAGTCAGGGTATTTGTCAGTCGATGTAGCAGCACTCCCTTGCGAGTCAGGCTATTTGTCAGTCGATGTAGCAGCACTCCGTTGCGAGTCAGGCTATTTGTCAGTCGATGTAGCAGCACTCCGTTGCGAGTCAGGCTATAAGATAGTCGATGTATCAACATTTACGCATGTTTTAAAAATGTTTTTTAATAAAACAAAAACAAAAACACCACTAATAAAAAAAAAATTTCTAGTCATTATAATTGCGGTTTTTTAAAAAAACAATAAAATTTAATGTACTTCCGCATAAATTTAATTGCTTTGACATTTCGACGACAATCAAAAACAGCTTAAGAGACAAGGTAATTAAAATTGTAGTCGAAAGAGACTTTTTTTACATTAAACGTCTCTTTCGACTACACTATAAGGATATATATATATATATATATATATATATATATATATATATATATATATATATATATATATATATATATATATATATACAGTAATGTGAATATGTTTTAGACCACTTATATAATTAGTTGTATTTTCAATTTTTTTCCTGTGTATTTTTTTTTTAAGCATACTGAAGTTGAGTAATATTTGAGAAAGGTTGAAAGAATATATTATCTTGAATAAATAAACAAAAATTTATGAGGAACATGAGGGATATGTTTGTTTATTTATTAAAACGATAATTGTCATAATAACTGCAGACCAAGCGTTCATCTAAATAATACATAAAAATAAAATTTTCGATTTTTTTCTTACTGGTTCAGGTTCATATTCGTTCATTTAAGTTTTTAACAGTATAAAATGTAGTCATAGAGTGAATTTAATACAATAATAATCGGTTTTGGTACATTTTTTAAAAAGTTGTAATTTTTTATAAATACAGTTAAACAAATAGTTAAAAATAATTAAATAAAGTTATTAGTTTACATTTTTAGATTAATTAAGTGTTGCTATGGGTAAAATATCTTTAATAGAGAGACAGAAAGTTATTGTGCTTCACGAAGAAGGTTATTCGCAGCGCCAAATTTCTTCCAAAACAGGATATTCGAAGACTGCTATTAGAGAAATCATTAAAAAGTTTAGAGAAACTGGCTCCCTTCGAAATAGAAAGAAAAGTGGCAGACCTCCTAAGCTAACAAAAGATGACAATAAATATTTAAAAACCCTTTCTTTAAGAAACAGGAAAAAAACATCCACCGAATTGGCAAAGGACATTAATACAGCAACAGGGAAAAATGTTAGCTCTTCTTGTATTCGACGACACCTACTCAAATCAGGATTACGAGGCTGCGTTGCTATTCAAAAACCTTTATTACGGCGTGGCAATAGAGAAAAACGACTTAAATATGCAAAACAACACAAAGATTGGACCCAGGAAATGTTTAATCGGGTTCTGTACACTGATGAGTCCAAATTTGAAATTTTTGGAACAAAAAGACGTCAATATGTTCGAAGAAGAATAGGCCTATCAGCCCGAGTGTTTAAACCCTACTATTAAACACGGAGGAGGCTCTTTACAAGTTTGGGGCTGTTTATCTTCATCTGGGGTAGGTGATCTGATCAAAATAGAGGGACGACTCACCGGGGAACGTTATGTGGATATTCTAAGACAGCATGCTATACCATCCGGAATGAGACTAATAGGCCATAATTTTATTCTGCAGCAGGACAATGACCCAAAACATTGTTCCCGAGTGGCAAAAAATTATTTAAATGAAATGGCAGAAGAAGGAATACTGGAAATGATGACCTGGCCTCCCGAGAGTCCAGATTTGAATATAATCGAGCATATTTGGGATTACTTGGACAGGAAAAAGGTCGAACATGCTCCCCGAAATGCTGAAGAATGTTTTCAACTACTTCAAAGAGAATGGCACAACATACCGCAGGATTTTATAACAAATTTGTATGAATCTATTTCCCGGCGAATATCGGCTGTGATTAAGGCAAAAGGAGGACATAGTAAATATTAAGGGTTTTTTTATGAAGTGTGACATTAAAAAGTTTGTTATTGTTCCATATTTTGTGTGAAATATATGTATTTTAATAATTTTATAATATAGAATTCAAAACTTAAATATTAAGGAAGAATTCTCTTGGATTTTTTGAGAAAATGTAAGTGGTCTAAAACATATTCACAGTACTGTATATATATATATATATATATATATATATATATATATATATATATATATATATATATATATATATATATATATATATATATATATGTCTATAATATATATATATATATATATATATATAAATATATATATATATATATATATATATATATATATATATGTCTATAATATATATATATATATATATATATAAATATATATATATATATATATATATGTCTATAATATATATATATATATATATATATATAAATATATATATATATATATATATATATATATATATATATGTCTATAATATATATATATATATAAATATATATATATATTTATATATATGTATATATATATATATATATATATATATATATATATATATATATATTTATATATATATATATATTTATATATATATATATGTATATATATATATATATATATATATATATATATATTTATATATATATATATATATATATATATATATATATATATATATATATTTATATATATATATATATTTATATATATATATATATTTATATATATATATATATATATATATATATATATATATATATATATATATATATATATATATATATATATATATATATAAGATTAGAAAATGGTGTATATTATACCATTTTCTAATCTACTATTTTTCTAATAATAAATAAAGTTTAAAAATATATTTAAAAAATATATATATTAAACAAAAATTAAATACAAAAGATAATCTTACTTGCTAATTGAAAAGTTCTAAAAATTTTTCAAACATCAATAGTTGTCAAGAATAAAAGATAAAAAAGTTGTTTACCTTTTTATTTAATAATAATAATCACGTTAAAAGTATTAATATTAAAATTTAATTATATTATTCAGCCATGATACCTCATGGCTGAATGCCAAATGTCTGAAGTAGCAAGTTCTATACAAATATATAAACTTAGTTAGCAATATATAAACTTAGTTGTAGCATAAAAAAATTGCAAGTAAAAAAAAATAAATTAGTTTCACAACTAATTTAAACTTACAGTGTGATATAGCATGACATGTCTAAAATAGCAAATTATAAAAGCATATACAAACTTAAATTTACAAATTATAACAATCCATATATAAAATTAGATGTAACTAGACTAAGTAAAAACCCATAAAAAAAAATACAAGTAAACATTTTACAACTGATTTATTTTACAATTGATGAAACTTACAGTGTGATATTGCATGCCATGTGCCTAAAATAGTCAATTATTAGTATGTACAATTTTTAGGGGAAATTTTTGAAAAATTTAAGGGAAAATAACCTGTTTTTGTGAAAAAATTACATTTGATTGGCAAGCTTTAAAAAACTATTTCGAGCACTGCAA